CTGGTAAAAAATTTGTTTGTGCTTTAAAAAGAACCATTCGCTAATGTTCTAAAATAAGCTGATGATAGAAAAGTTAATACAGCAACTCATTAGTAATAGTGTGTCGCCGCGTGGCGGCAGGCGCAGGCGCCAACTGCACACCTCGCCGCCATGCGACTTGCTCATTCCAACGTCTTTATTTGCTTGTAATTCACGCATACTTTGCTCTCCCACTCTGAAAATTTGTGGAGTTCATATTTTAGCATTGCTCTTTTGATTACTGCAAATTTTATTTTTTTAAAACATGGCAAATTTCAGAGAAACGTCCTGAACTTCTCAAATTTTTGAGAAAAAACGAATAGCACCATTAGAAAGAGCAGATCAAAATCTAACGGTTTATATTTTTTAATAACTTTTTCAGCCATCTCCTAACCATTACGAGCGAGTTGAACACAGCGTGCTCGAGCAAAAAAAGTCCCGCGCGCGCAAGGTGGCCCGCTCTCAGTAAGCAAGCCCATGTACACATAATCACAAAAGCATGTAAAAATATAAATTTAAAGTTTTCAAATTCCATGTAAACTTGTGGCTATAAGACAACTAATGCACCTCTTCCCATCCCATTCTGATGAACGAAACTGCCACCTTCACGTTGGCTTCCATTGAGTAATTCCAGTAATTCAGTCGAACAATAATCGTAGTTCTACATTTTCATAATTAAAATCGTCAAACACTTTGTTTTACTACATTTATTACTGGAATCAGCTGAGAGAAGACAAACATTGCCGTAATATAAAATAATACATATAAATATTATACGCAACATCTGCATCCATGGGTAAGAGAATCATAATTATTATTTAGGCAAATCAAGTGTGATAACAAGACATTTCAGTTAGTTTATCTACTACGAAGCATATGGTAACATATTTATCTGGTCTGTAACACAAGGTAAGAGCTACCAATCAGCACATAACCCGGTACGCTTACTATTCATTTTAATTATTTATAATAAATATAATAATAAGACATGCGCCAATCCCCATACGACCCGGGGCGCTTACTGGTCGCTTACTAATTTTACAATAAATAAAGAAATAAGGCAAACGACAATCACCTGGCAACTCAGGGAGCTTACTGGTCGCTTTAATTATTTATGATAAATATAATAATGAGACAAGGGACAATCACCAGGCAACTCGGGGCGCTTACTGGTCGCTTACTTATTTTACAATAAACAAAGTAATAAGGCAAGCGACAATTACCTGGAAACTTGGGGCGCTTACTGGTCGCTTTAATTACAAGGGCAGACAAAAAAAAGTGGACTGTACTTTTGACCAGACTTACTTATCTTCATGTATTTTGACGCACTGAATCCGAATCCGAGGTCTGATTAACCCGTACACCCTCAAAATTTCGAGTAAATTGCGAAAAACTGCAAAAAATAGCCATAAATCGTAAAAAATCACATTTTTAGCTCTTCAATCATTCAAAAAAAATTTAGTAGACATGTGACGAGGTTGGTTCATATGTATTTTGATGCGTTGAATTCAAATCCGAGGTTCGTTTCATCCGTACACCCTCAAAATTTCCAGTAAATCGCAAAAAACTGCAGAAAATAGCCAAAAACCGTAAGAAATCATGTTTTTAGCTTTTAAAACATTCAAAAACATTTTTGTAAACACGTGTCGAGGTTCATTCTTATACATTTTGACGTGCTGAATCCGAATTTGATGTCCGCTTGACCCGTACACCCTCAAAATTTCAATACATTTGCAAAAAAACAGCAGAAACCCCGCAAAAAGTATCAGAAAATCACAGTAAATCGTAAAAAATCGAATTTCTATGCTCTAGCTGAGTATGAAAAAAAATTTCATGCAGATTTTGTCCAATTCTCATGTTTTATTTCTCACTGAGTCGAGGTGAGAGATTCGTTTAACTTCAAAACTTTCTAAATTCCAAGGAAATCGTATAAACAGAAGGAAATTGCGTTTGTGAGCGTTAAAAAACTAAAAAGATTTTTTTTAATCTTTTCGATATATGTTCTCCTTGAACGGCGAAAAGTGATGTAAAAAAACGGCCAATGTAAGGAGTAACTGGTGTCGAGTATAAATATCATGAATATAAAATAAAGCAAAATAGGTCTACACGTGTGAATCATGTTTTCATTTATATTACTCTCACACTTTCTTCCTCTTGTAGCGAACTTTTTTCTCTTCGAACGAACTATGTAGCGGGTTTCTCATTCTCTTATTCCTTTCTTGAGTTGTTTCTCCCTTCAATGTCCAACAGAAATCAGCCATCATGTTGATATCTCATCTTCCTTGACATCGATTTTCCATTTCACTTATATCTTGATGGAATCTTTCTCCTTGCTCTTCGCTGTAATCTCCAAGGTGTTCTGGGAAATAGTCAAGGTGAGAATGTAAAAAATGTAGTTTGAGACTCATCAAACAACCCGATTGTTTGAAATTGTCTAACAACTCTTTAACTATATTCTGGTAATTCTCACTCTTCTCATTTCCTAAAAAGTTTTGAGATATGCTCTTAAAACTTTGCCATGCTGCTTTTTCTATATTATTCATCTTTGTAATAAAATTGTTATCATGAAATAGAGCACGAATTCACAGGATCGAGGAACATCGTACGTGAACGATTGATTGAACCGTTTAAATTTTTGTTACCACTTTTTCATATCAATCTGGGTCTCATGAAGCAATTCGTCAAAGCTCTGAACAAAGATGGTGATTACTTTCAATATTGAGGTGAGAAGTTTCCCGCGATAAGTGATGCAAAACTGAAAGAGGGCATTTTCGATGGTACTCAAATTCATGCTCTATTTCATGATGAAAATTTTATTACAAAGATGAATAATATAGAAAAAGCAGCGTGGCAAAGTTTTAATAGCATATCTCAGAACTTTTAGGGAATGAGAAGAGTGAAAATTACCAGAAAATAGTGAAAGAGTTGTTAGACAATTTCAAACAATCGGGTTGTTTGATGAGTCTCAAATTACATTCTTTACATTCTCACCTTGACTATTTCCCAGAACACCTTGGAGATTACAGCGAAGAGCAAGGAGAAAGATTCCATCAAGATATAAGTGAAATGGAAAATCAATGTCAAGGAAGATAAGATATCAACATGATATCTGATTTCTGTTGGACATTGAAGAGAGAAACAACTCAAGAAAGGAATAAGAGAATGAGAAACCCGCTACATAGGTCGTTCGAAGAGAAAAAAGTTCGTAACAAGAGGAAGAAAGTGTGAGAGCAATATAAACGAAAACATGATTCACATGTGTAGATCTATTTTGCTTTATTTTACATCAATAATATTTGTACTCAACACTTGTTACTCTTTATATTAGCCGTTTTTTCACATCATTTTTCGACGTACAAAAAAAACATACATCGAAAAGATTTGAAAAAAACTTTTTTTAGTTTCTTAACGCTCACAAACGCAATTTCCTTCTGTTTATACGATTTCCTTGGAATTTGGAAAGTTTTGGAGCTAAACAAATCTTTAACCTCGTGAGCAGTGAGTATCCTGGATAGTCAGGTGATGAGCACTCGCGTAGTTACTTAATAAATCTTATGAATTATTACAGCGACCAGTAAGCACCCCGGGTTGCCAGGTGATTGTCGCTTGCCTTATTACTTTATTTTCTGTACAATAAGTAAGCGACCAGTAAGCGCCCCGAGTTGCCTGGTGATTGTCACTTGTCTCATTATTATATTTATCATAAATAATTAAAGCGACCAGTAATCGCCCCGAGCTCCCAGGTAATTGTCGCTTGCCTTATTACTTTATTTAATGTAAAATAAGTAAGCAACCAGTAAGCGCCTTGGGTTGTGTGGGGATTGGCGCATGTCTTATTATTATATTTATAATAAATAATTGAAGCGACCAGTAAGCGTCCCAGGTTATGTGGTGCTTGACGCTTGTGTTATTTCTCACATGTTTGCCAGTCACATTTGAGAACACCGGTAAGAACCTCAGGAATGCCCCCTCCTTCCCTGCCTATTCGCTTCTCCAACACTCTATGGATTGGTATGCTAGTGACAGAAGGACTAGCGACGCACAAAGTAGTGCACAGCGATGTTCTCCGGGGTAGCCGGCTGGCGCTGCTCCCTTTTTCGAGCTGGTTGCCTCCAATTGGGGTTCACAGCCTCTTGAGAGGTACTCAGGGAATCTGGAAATTACCCATCCACGGTCGGGCGATACCCGCCTTAGGTTTAACTTGGAAAAATCTATACGCCCATTGGTTGTACTTATTATATACCCAAGGTGACCCAAAGTTAAATTTTATTGGGTCTCTATGATCGATATCATCGCAATCTGGGACAGACACTTTCGTTACGACCATCAGCTGCCTCGACTCTTAGTTCGTCGCTCCAGATCTATGTGATTGATAGTAACTTTCATGTTACTGACCGTAATTTTCACTGCGGGAATCCTCTTCACCCAACGCTGTTCGGTACACTTCTCCAAACGCTAACGCCACCTGCCTTATGCGGCACCTAACTAAATTTATGTGCCTCAAAAGTTGAAAACAAGAAAAGGCCTGCCCTGGCCTTCTATACTTAAAGAGAGATATTTTATATTCTCCGGTGTGACCACCATAGAAATATAAGAATAGAGAGCGCCAAACCCACACAACCCTGTCCAGTGATGTTTTTATTGGTGCGAGAGAGAACGCTGCAGTTACCACAGAGTCCTTATGGTAATTATGCAGCGGTCTGGCGATCTCTCTCGCACCGTGGGACATAGCTTAGTACAGGGTTATGTGGGTTTGGCGCACTCTATTACTATATCTCTATACATCGTGACCACAGCCTATGCCTGAAAAAATCTTGAATTGAGCATTTTGAGATTCATAGGTCTCATTTTTTTTTACTCTAACGATTATTTGGCACGTATTTTCCGGTAAAGCTGTTAAATACGATAAAAACGACTTAATTGAACCAAAATGTATAAGGCATACCAGCTCAATACAATTGTAGAAATAACGTTTTTAATACCTTTAATAGTTCCATCAGCTTCTATCGCGTAAACAGGATCAATTTTTTGTAGCTGAAATAATTAATTCTGATGTTAATAAATATATGTAGAAGTAAAAAGATATATAAACATTGATTCAACTATTTTTTCACCTTTGATTTTTGTATAGTGTTACAGCCTTCACGTAAATCTGTTGGTTTTAAATTTACTTCAGAAATTAATGATCCATACTGAGATCTAGCTTCTAAAGATGATTGTTTTCTAAATTCACGTGATCTTACTAGAGGATTGTTTTCTAACTCCAACGGAGTATTTAAATAAATAAATCAGAAATTAAAAAAATGAATTTTTATTTTTTAGAATTTTTTGGAATGGAAATCTCAGTAAGTTATTACCTCTACATTGCCCCTCTTCAATTTTATTGAGGGAAGCATAGCACTCTGACTTGTTTTCAATCGTTTTGAGGCTTGGCATTTTTTTTTTCGTTTGCCAATACTTTGTTCTTTTGTACTTAGAAAAATTAAATGATCTTACTCCATGGGTGAATGATTTTTTTTTAATGTTTATTTTAACGAAATTTTTTTTTGTTTTATAGCAATAATTTTTGGTATTACTTGCACTGTCACTTATCTGAACATGTACATTGAATGTTTGATTTGCTTGACTGCATTTGGAGACATCGACATTGTTTTTAAAATCATTGTTTCCTATGTAATTTTTACTATACCGTGTTGATAAGAGATCTTTCAAAGATGTTTCAGATGTGCATGTATGTGTTCCATTAATTTGAATCTGACTTATTTTACAACCCAATAAAATTTCACTTTCAGTTTTTTTGTTTATGCAACTATTAATGGAATTCTCTGTAGTTTGATCACAACAAACATTATTACTTGAAGATTCAACTAAATCCTGACCACATTCTTCTTTTTTTTTTCTAGTATCACAATTACGGCTAACTTTGGTACATGAAGATGAACAATTCTTGAACCTATTGGTACAATTACGTACAGTTTCCTTTTTTTTTTTTTCATTACAGTCTTTTACTACATCCTTTTCACTATGAAACTGATTCATGTCAAATAAGCTAGAGGTTTCACTCTTTCCATCTTCTGCACAACTACTAAAATTATTGAATTTATTTAAATTATTTACATAACTTTGTTTGCAATAAGTTTGAGGGATACGTTCCATAATTTGCTGAAAAGTATTCTTAGGTTTGCAAATTACTTTTTGAGGTGTTGCATATGGAATAGAGCTATTTTGAATCTGCTCATTCTGTAATAACTCACCAAAAATATTATTCAGTTGATTTTGAGAGCTATTATCATGTTTGGGATTACTTTTTGTGGGATAACGACCACAGAAATTGTCAAATCTGTTTTGAGACAGATGAAATGTTGATTTATGTGTTATAGAATTGTCATTTTTTTTGCAGTGCTCATAATAAAAATTTGATATAAATGTTTGACGTGGTCGATTTTGTTCACTTGTATTAATATCATCAACTAAATCTTTACATAAACATGTATCAGTCGAATTCTGGATTTTGTTATGGTAAATATTGTCATCTTCTGTGCAATCTTCAGAGTCGTTCTTAGAGCCAACATGAAAATTTTCTACAGGAATACTGCACATAGCATCTGTAACAGTATTTTCAAGAAGTTTAGTTTTTAACGTCCTATAATTTTTGTAAGCATCTCGAATTGTTGAGCTAGCTTCATTTATGTCAGTCTAAAACAAAAGTAAGGGAAATTTTGAAAACTTTATTAAATATTTTATTTTATTTAATAAAAAAATATATATTACCTTATTGGGTTTACGGCTATTTTTCTTCATAAAATTCGTTTCCCATATCTTCACACAAGTTTTAAATTTTGTATACTGTTTCTCAAGATCAACCATGTTAGTTGAACTCATACTTTCCTCAAATTTTGTTGATGAAAAAAAACTTCCAAAATATTTTTCTTCTAAAACAAAACTTTGAAAGAAAACTACTAATACAAATTTAAACTGACTAAAGAGTTGAGCTTAAAAGTCTGATTTCTACAAAATCTTCCAAAACAAAGAGAATGTATAAAATAGTTATACAAAATACGTAATTTTACAGGGATTCGACGGATTCAACCTCTGAGGCGCTGACTGCAGATATTACGCTGTGAACACGGTTGCTGTGGATAGCGGATAGGGCCTAAGGGCCTTTGCACGCAAAAGTAGTGGGATCGATTTAAGTTTTTGGCAACGGAAATTCAGACTGGCTCGAAAAAAATATGTTGTACAGAATTAAACAATACCAATCGGTCGTAATAAAACGTTTTCCGCTAAGGCCTAAAAAAAATGGCAAATACGGTAAAACACGGTCTTAAGCATTGGAAATGAACAATAAGCCTTAGAATAAAAAATAAAAAATATAGGAGTATGCATGACAAAAAGACAAACAAAATTGATCCAGTAGTTTCCCCACAAAATACAAAAAACCTTGTCCTCGTTTTTCTAGCCAATAGTTAAAACTCACAACTCTTTTTCGCATAAGCATTAAGAACTTAAATTTGGCAGAGTTTTAGCTTTAATAATCTTCAACGAGCACACCAAATTTCAGCAAGATCGGATAGATAGTTTTTGCAATGACACTGAAATTCGGAACGTTCCGGGAACGAAAATTAAGAATTTAATTAATCACTTTAAAACGTAGCAAAAATGCTAAAAAACAGCTGAAAGTAGCATTAGAGACTACTAATCATATGTATAAGTCGTAAGAAGGATAATTGTCCATTATTTTACCCGCACCAAAAAATTATCATGTATGTGCCTATATGCTGGCTTTACTACACCTTCAAACCTCTGGCTTTCTTTACTATAAAACCAAATCGAAGATCCCGCTAAAAACGATACAAGTTGTTTATTACTATATAACCAACAAAATGAATTCAAAATATCCAAAAAAAATCGACAGGGCGGGTGATTTTCACTCGATTTTCCACTACACGCGTAGTGCAAAATCAACCAAGTTCGCTCTTCTGGCCCTCATAACTAAAAATCTAGATCGAAGGCCCCACTAAAAACGATACGGATTGTTTATTATTATATAAACAATGAAATAAAATCAAAATATCAAAAAATAATCGATAGGGCGGGTGATTTTCACTCGATTTTCCACTACACTACGTAGTTTATAGCTAAATTTAGAGCTGAATTTTATACATTATTATAGCTGTTTTATAGGAAGTTATAGCTATAATTATAGTTATAAATTACAGGTGTCATTATATATGGCTATATATTTTTGACTCAGTTTCATATACACATTTTATACCTATACATAAATGTTTACGTACACCTCATTCATATACATGATTATAGCTGTAATACATTATAGCTATCTATTTTTGTCTTAGGCAATCAAAATGATACGTATATATATAACGGATCAAACATCCCACTCTCAAGCTTTTAAGATGGCTGCAGAAAAGCATGTAACGTAATTCGAGAAAAAACAAACCCGATCTAGCAAAATTAATTAAAATGTGACTTTTGGGAGAAGCATGACTCTCCACCAAAAATAAAATTTTTAATACCATCGAAGAAATAGCAATATTTTTTACAAACATTGTCGGATCCACAAAAATATGGCATCAAATAATGGGCGGGCCTAGCAGTGTTAAAACAAAAAAAAGAAGAAAACGTTATCTTCTTTTCAATAGAGTTAAAGGTACCACCCTAGAATTAATTGAAACAATTATCCACGATGTTCGAATACATCAGGAATTATATACAAAACCAAAACAGGATAAAGTTTAATATTTCATAAGAGGCCTACACTGGGTAATAAAAGCACGTATGAGCCACGCGAACAACCTCGAAACTGCCACAACTCAAGCTATAGAAATCGAAAGAGACTTCGCATGTTATGAACCCGAACATCTACAAGAAACAATAATCATCATAACTAATAGACAATGTCAAGATGCACAAAAACTTAATCCAAACTCCAGAAAAATGCCAAATTTGTGAATGCACACAGCAGGAAATTGCTGGTATCGCTACAATACTAGTAAAGCCGACACTCGCCAAGCCACGCCCATATACAATCCTACACCATCCACAACCAAACGTCGTCCTAGCCACTCCCCTATACCGTTANATCTGAGGATCGATTCCAACTGTCGGCAAATTTTTTTTTTTAACGTGATTCATCATTCTAGTTTATTTTCTTTTTATTTATGTTTTATTGAAATTTATAAATAATATTAACAAACCCTTTTTTTCCTATACATCGAAATACGTTTTTTTAATACTAATTATATTAAATAATTTCATAAGCTGATACTTATCGTTAGCATGGCTATTTCGGAATTTCGTACTAATGAAATAATTTCTTAGGATATGAGTATAATTCTTACATTTAAAGCTCCCAAGAAATCATTAACATCCAAAGTAAGAGACAAAAAATCCTTATACATAATTTTCATTTATTTTTAGTTTTTTTTTTTCCAAGAAATGATGAAGCAGTTCTGATCGATATTTTTATCTATCTATACAATAATCATAATCTTCGAAGGCACAAGAAAACTTACATAAAACTCCATAAGCTGATACTTATCGTTAGCATGGCCATTTCGGAATTTCATACTAATAAAATAATTTCTTAGGATATGAGTATAAAACTCACATTTAAAACTCCCAAGAAATTATTAACATCCAAAGTAAGAGACAAAAAATCCTTATACATAATTTTCATTTATTTTTAGTTTTTGTTTTCCAAGAAATGATAAAGCTGTTCTGATCGATATTTTTATCTATCTATACAATAATCATAATCTTCGAAGGCACAAGGAAACTTCCATAAAACTCCCTAAACATTTATTTTCCGTCTTTTGTAGTAAAAAAATTTTAGGTATAGCAGCTATACTTATTGTGTTGATTAAATATGTAATTTCAATGTCAATTACATACTGTTGGTTCTAGACCAAACTTTTAATTAGTTTATGTAAATATCAAAACTTAATACCTTTGAAAATTATGCAACAAAAATCTGAACAGTAATAAAAAACAGATTAAGTTAACTGTTACGTTACTTAAAATTTTTACCTGGTAGTTACAACCACTTGTCACTAACATTATGAATTTCAAAAAAGTAAAAGTTTAAAGCTTGAACATAATTTTCGACAATTTATAAGATCTGTTTTTCATTACTGTTCAGATTTTAGTTGCATAATTTTCAAAGGTATTAAGTTTTGATATATTTACATAAAATAATTAAAAGTTTGGTCTATAACCAACAGTATGTAATTGACATTGAAATTACATATTTAATCAACACAATAAGTATAGCTGCTATACCTACAATTTTTTTACAACAAAAGACGGAAAATAAATGTTTAGGGATTTTTATGTAAGTTTTCTTGTGCCTTCGAAGATTATGATTATTGTATAACTAGATAAAAATATCGATCAGAACTGCTTCATCATTTCTTGGAAAAAAAAAAACTAAAAATAAATGAAAATTATGTATAAGGATTTTTTGTCTCTTACTTTGGATGTTAATGATTTCTTGGGAGCTTTAAATGTAAGAATTATACTCATATCCTAAGAAATTATTTCATTAGTACGAAATTCCGAAATAGCCATGCTAACGATAAGTATCAGCTTATGAAATTATTTAATATAATTAGTATTAAAAAAACGTATTTCGATGTATAGGAAAAAAAGGGTTTGTTAATATTATTTATAAATTTCAAAAAAACATAAATAAAAATAAAGTAAACTAGAATGATGAATCACGTTAAAAAGAAAAATTTGCCGACAGTTAGAACAGTAGTGGCATAAGCCCTTACTACCTTAGCTATCGAAACTTGGAGGGAACAAGATCTTAAAGTCACGTATGTTCATCGATAACCTCCGGGGCTTGTTCTGCAGTTCATAACAATTACGATGAGGAAAAATAATTAACTAGTGGTTATAGCTGAACTGTTATCCTTAAAAAAATTAGCTAAACATTTTTTCAAAATAATACTAGATTTCAAATTACGTATTAACGTCCGGAAAAAAAAAGTGTTTTGATATCAAATTCTGTGCATATAATTATACCATTTAGTTTCACGATTTAATCGAATGTAAGATTGATAGATAACATTCAATCAAGAGCGAGAGAGCAAGAGTCAGTTAAATATATATAGCATATACTCGGTTGCAGTCAAAAGAAAAAGACTCGCGTTTCGTCGCTTGCTTTGGCTGTGCGTTCAGATATATAGCTATAGTCAACATTTCCACTCCTCTCCTCATAGGCACACATTCGGTGTACCCCTCCTACGTGTCGCCAAAATGTGCGCCTATATGCTCATTTCCACGCGAATCCACTTCTCTTCTTGTCGGCGCACGCTCTTCGATACAAGTCTCGCACTCTCGAAAAATGTGCGTTTTGGTTCGACGGCTGGTCGCAGCGGGTCGCCCCGATCAGTGGAGAAAAGTTTTCTCACGCCGTAGCATTGGCGTTAGCAATCTCTCTACTCATCTCTGTTCCTTATATTTACTTACGTTTTCTTGCGAGTCACGGCATATTATTACACATGTTTACTTTTTCTTACATTTTTTGTTACGATTTCGAATTTCCGCTTGGGTTCAAGTTGTTTCAGTAATCAAACGCACAATTCGTGAATATAAACACAGAAAAACTGACTAAATATATAAACGATGATCAATCGACGTAATGTATATTTTTGGAAGTCTTGGGTTGAGACTCAATAACTTGAGAGTTTCGCGCGAGCACGTGGGTGAGGATTCGAGTAATAAGGGTGTGTACGCACAAGGATGTTTAATACCACTTTAATGCTACAACGTTGAGCTAATTGTACATAACTTAATAAAGGAGAAACTTAATGTAAATGTTACTTGGAATAATGTTAATAATTATACATGGCTTTTCTTGAGCACGCACTCTTGGCCAGAGAGCACGTACAGGCCGTCGGGCTTGGCGACGTCCCGCGTGCAGACTGACCTTGGTCCCTTTTCTTCTCGACTCATTTTCCGGCTTTTTCCCTCGCCCCAGCTGTAATGGTAAGAGAGCGCCTAAGAGCAAGCAGGAAGATCGTGGTACGACGGTATGATCAAGCGCGGCATC